GAACAGGACCTTAGGGTGAAGCTAGACATGCATGGGGCAGGACTGAATGGAACTATGAGGACACGGTGGCCTGGCTGGATCTTGGAATCCCTTCCCCCACCCCTAAGTGGGATCATTGATGGCCTTTGTCTTAAGTCTGTGTCTTGTGCCACGAGAGGAGATGTATCCAAAGAATGACTTGAGGGGCCTCATTCACTCCTGGCCTAACAGGGACAGTGGACCCCCAGTGGAAACTGGGTGAAGTCCTTGGAGGGTGGGGGAGGGGAGAGTGTGTTCCCCATTTTGGGGGAATAGCAATACTTTGTGGCTGCACTGCAGCTATGATGGTTTAAAACCTCCCATGGAGAGCTGAGGCCAAGCTCTTCTTGAACCTGGACTCTGTTACTTGGTGGCCAGCAGGATGTGGTGGGGGCCGGGCTGCACCAGCCCCCAGCCCAGCTTTTCCACTTCCTGTCTCTGAGACTCAGCCACCATGTCACGAGGAGGCCACGGTGGGGCGGGCCTAGCGATAGCCATGTCAGCTAGCTGCATGTGCCAGCCTCCAGATGATCCCACCCTCTGCCAGGGGTCCCTGCTAGGCTGCTCAAATGTGGACTTACAGGTACAGGATATGACGGCCACCGAGGGTGGTATTATGTAGCCAGTGGTGACCCAGACAGATGTCAGAGATGATGAGACCCCATCACTCTAGGACTGCAGGAAGTACTGTGTGGCTGTCACTCTGAGGTCTCGTAGCAGGAGCCCAGAGTATGGTGGACTGCATAGCCTGTCTCTCACAGGTGCACGCCCAGAGGCTCACAAGCACCATCTCCTTCCATCTCACAATGTCCCATGAGCTCTTACAGAACCCACCTCACAGACGGGGAAACCAAGGCTGGGCTGTGAAATCTAGACTGGTCTCGTGAATCCCGGCACTCTACCTGGAGCTGAGTCCTCAGAGGAAGCTTCCAGTGCCAGGGCTGGAAGAGTGTGTGATAAGCATTGTGCCCACTTCAGGGCAGAGAAAGTGCAGCCTCCAGAGGGGACAGCAACTAGCCCGAGGTCTCCTGCTCCCAGCCCAAGTCCTATCACGCTGGGTGCCTCAGCATGCTGGTAGAAGGCTCTCTCTCAGGGGCCCCAGAAAAGACTCTGTGGGCCCCTTGAGCAGTGTAGACTGTTGGCTGTTCCCCTTCCATCCAAACCCTGGGCCCCAGGAACTGGGCTTCTGTGTCCTCTTTCTGCCTGGGGGCCCTGGGCAGGGCAGGAAGCCAGTGGCCTTGAGCTCCTGCCCCCAAGGACACAACAGCAGCCAGTGAGACAGACACTGCACTGTGGGAAAGAGGCCTTGGCCTTGGGTTCACAGGCTGAGGCAGCAGGGAAGAGGCAGCTTGGGCCTCGTGGTGGCTGCCCCAGCTATGACCCCCCAAGGAGGTTGGGGACTGCGGCTCGAGGGTGGAGCCAGCTGGTCTTCCTCACCTGTGCTTCTGGAATCAGGAAGGGCTTTGGCTGTGAGCAGCATGTAGACAGTGTAGGGTCAAGAGTGGGCTCCCGGTGGCTTCCAGAGTCTGCCAGCCCCATTGTCTTACCAGAACTCCTTAAGAAACTGTGGCACGGCCTCCAGTGTCACAAGGACACAGTCCCTTCCCCTCCGGCAGCAGTCTGTTCCTCTTAGCCATCTCTCTGGATCCTTCCACCCATTCTTCCTGTGGGGTACACATTTCCTAGGCTGTGGCGTGGGTTCTGAAAGGCAGTTGTGGCCGCATAAATCTGGGAAAGTCACCTGCCACGTGGATCCTCCACAAGCCGCTTGCACCAACTCTCTAAAGGTATGCCTTGTCCCACAGAAGCCTAGGACAGGCCAGAAGGTGAGTCGCCTGCCATCCACACCTGCTGTCATTTGGCCCACGGTCTTGTGTGTAGACTAAAACCCATGGGCGCCTGCCACAGTTCACCAAGCCTCATCTTATCTCAGCTCCACCTCCCCTCATGCCCTCCACTTGGTCCAGTGCACTGCCTTCTCCCCTTTCTCACCTCCCCGGAAGATTTGGGGTCTCTCCGGGGAACTGCTGTAGTCATTTGAGTGACTTTTCTGTAAATATGTCTTCTCTGTCCACCCTGCCATCCCTGCTGGGTGCTGGTGTCAGAGGGGCTTTGGAGTGCCAGGGTGGAAGACGTGGTTCTGCCTGAGGACAAGGTCCCCTGGGTGGGAGGTTTGTGTGGGCAGTGACCCTGTGGTGTGTCACTGGAGCGGGAACTCTGCAGTCCATGTGCCCCAGTGTCTAGCTTAATATTTATCTGCTCCCAGCTCAACACATGTCCTTCAGGGGAGCCCAGGGCTCCTCCAGGCCAGGCCCAAGATGCATCTGGAATTGCTCAGATCATGCTGTTGTGTGTGCCCACCAGTGGGTACCTGGGTATGACCACACATTGACACTTGTGTGTGGGCTCCTGTGGGTGAGGCTGTGTGGAGACATGTTTGCCTGCCTGTGTGTCTGCCATGTCTGCAGGCTCCCAGGTCTGTACACCTGGAGGTGCCCGAGGGTGGCGACTTTGCCCTGTCCAGATGGGAGATCAGTTCCCCCACTGGGCGATTGCTGCCACCTAGTGGTCAGGCTAGGGACACCACCATGGGTCTCCCGGCCACAGGAGGTGGCTGCAGGGGATGTGAGTGGAGCTGGGCAGGGGTCACTTATGCCGGGCCCTGAGTCCAGCCTAGATGGTGTAGGGCAGAGACCTTCAAAGTCAGCTCCTGAGGGTGTGTGAAGAGCAGAGTTCCTACCTGCCCGGGGCATCTGGCTAGAGCTTCCACCCCTGTCTCAGGGGATGTGGACACTGCTGGCCGGGGTCCCACTTGAGCCATGCTGAGATGAGCAGGGCAGGTTAGGACTTCCATCCTGAAGTCCGCCAGAACCTTCTTGAGACCCAGCTCAGACAGGCCACTCTTCTGGCCACCCCAGCCCCAGACACTCCCGGGGTGGGGGGGGGTTCGGTCCAAGGCCCTTTTCAGTCCCTTCCTAGTTGTGCTCCTTGGCCCCATCTAAAGCCCCACTATGGAGCCTTCAACACCCCCACTACAGACCTCAGGCCTACTCCATGCCTGTTTGGGAGACCCTGGGTGGGGGTCACATCTGACTCATGTGGGAAGACTGGAAAGATGGCTATGAGCCTCTCATGGGCAGGCCGAGGTGAGGTGGCCCACCCTGTGGAGTCTGCCACATGCAGGGCCCAGACATGTGAGAAGTGGCAGGGCAGGAAAGGACAGGCTGGGAGTGGAGGGACCATGTGCACTCCTGGCACAGGGAACTTCAATGGGCAAGGGCCTGGGGGGGGGCACGTTAGGAGACTTGGAGACCTGTGGGCCTATGCGTGAATGTGTCATCCAGGGTAGAGGGCCACCTTGCTCGTGGACATTGTGTGAGACCTCTAGAAACAGGGAGGAGGCTGAGGCCATGAGGCTCCCCCAACATATATTGTGGGGCTGTACAGGCCTTCCTCTGCTCAGGCTCCTTAGCCACCCTCACTGGACACTGGGGCTTTCAACGGGTTCTCAGGACCTCATGAGCCCTGGGCAGTCAGGGCCTGGCTGGAGGACGGTCTTCAGATCCCACTTCTCACACCACCTCACTTGCTGCTGGGGCCTTGCTGATTTCTTCCAACAGCTCCTATCCTTCCACTCTGCTGGCTAAAGACACTGTCCAGCCCCTCCTCTTTTGAGTCCCCACACTCCTGACGTGGTGCATGGCCTATGGTGGTCCCGAGAAGTGACAGTCGAAGCAAACGCTTCCTGGGCTCCAGTGAGGAGCAGAAGTGAGGACAGATAACCACACAGGCAGGAGGGTTTCTGCGAAAATAGTGGGATATATTTGAAAAGACGAGTGCGCTGTGATGCTTACAGTACGACCTCCGAGTGCCCCTCCGTGTTCACCGCACGAAGGAGGCTTGTCGAAGGACCACAGCACCTTCTACAGAGGCAGTTTGGGCCTGATTTGGTCTCGTTTGAAATGTCAAAATAGAACCCTTTGACACACATTGCACCCAAGGTAAAAACTGAAAAACAAGCCAGGAATCGAGGCTCCTGCCTTTCCCGAGACGCGACGCGGTCTCCGGATGTGCCGAACCGGTGGGGTCACATCAGTGCACGTGGCGCGTCGCAGCTGGGACCTGGGGCTGGAGCCCAGTTGGAGAGGCTGGCAGGACTCTCTGGGCTACAGCCTGCCTCACCTCCTGACCCAGTCTCCCACCCATCCAACCCCTCGGGAAAAATGAGATCCAGAAGCCTGTATTCACATTACGGCATGAATTAGCACCAGCGCCTTCAGAGCAGGCTTGGGGATTCCTAGAGCCAGGAGTCCCTCGTGGGAGGAAGGCTCCAGAAAGGAGGCCATGGGGCTGAGGGGCATGGGTGGGAGCTAGCTGAGAAGCGATCTCCACGTTCCATAAGGGAACCCGGGTGCCCGGGTGAAGGTGCTCTGGAAACTTTGGCAGTGTGGACGGTGGCCAGTGTGACCTTGTTGTCAGAGGGAGAAGGCTCATTGTGCTCTTGGGGACCAGGTGGCTCAGAAATGGCCCAAGTGAAGAACCTCATGATTTTAAGGTCACTTTGGAATTCCAGCAACAGCAGCAAGTCTAAGAGTGGAGCTGCCACCGTCCAACCGACTGCCTTAACGTACTTCCCTGCTAGGTGATGGGGAGACCCTGTGCAAATCTTCAAAGGTCGAGTTCTACAGCGTATGGCACCTGGCCAACAGGGCGCTTGGGGGTGGGGACAGGCATGAGCTGCCTTCTTCAAAAACTTGGCAGCAGGAAAACAGCTGTGTGGTCTCACAGGGGCTGTGGCTGGCCTGTTCCTCAACCCCAGCCTTCCCGCCCTGCTCAGAGCAGCACACCCTCGACTCTCACATCAGTCAGAGCGTTTGCGGGTAAGTCGGGTGCACGGAAGCAGGTGAGTGGCCCCAAGCGAGTTGTCTTGGGTACCGGAAAGGAACCCCATGTCTGGGCTTTATTCCCACGTGCTCCTGTGGTCACTCAGAAGTATCCTTCTTCAGAGGGATCTTGAAGCTAGTCAGTCTTTGCCCGAAGAGCTGGCTGAGGAGGTCACTCTGGGACTCAGCGGTCCGGTAGCCTCGGGGCTCAGCAGGCTCAGCACCGTGGACAGCTCTGCCCCTCTTTGGGGGCCTGGGCAGGGGCCTTGCTTGGGGGAAGGCCTTGCCCAGTGCCTCCTTCCTGGGGGTGTGGCCAGAATCCTTCCTCTGATCTGCTGTCTGTAGCCTCATCTTACCGCTCTGGCTGCTGGGTCTCGGCTTGACAGGGAGCACACGGCTAGGAGTTGCCTGCTTTCGGGGAGCCCTAGGGGGCTTGTCAGGGGCCAAGGGGGTTCTTTCCAAGCTCCCCATGCTCTCATACCTGGTTGGCGCCAGGGCCTGGGCCTTCCTCCTCTTCTCACTGTTCTCTCTCTTCTCTCTGGGGTCTGGACACCCTCGGGGCCTCTGGTCACCAGCTTCTCTGGGCCCCTTGGTACAGCCCTTGGCCTGGGCTCGAGACAGGGGCTGGTCTGGTGTGGGGCTCTGGCTGGGACAGCTAGTTTTGGCTGGGGTGGTAGCTGTCTCGCTTTGGAGCTGCCCACTGGCTGGCTGGGGCTGGCTGCCACCCCCTGTCTTGGTGCTAAGGTGTGGTCCCCCATTACCCTGGGAGCTGGGTCTTTGTTTGGCTTTGAGGGTGGTGGGCTTCATCCTGTCCTCAGAGCTATGGGGCAGTTCTCCAGATGCTGGGCTTTCTATCCCCACGGGCTTCCTCAGCTGTGCTGGGATCCTGGGTGCTTTACTGGGGGTGGACACTGATGTCTTGTCCTTTGATAAGCTCTGGGAGAACCCTGGCTTGGCAGCACCACCCTTGTGATGGGGGCGCCTCCCTTTCCCTACCCCAGGTACTGTGTGGCTTGTGGTCACCAGTTTCTCTTTTTGGAGCAAGGAGGGATCTCCTAGGGAATGGTCAGGGGCGTATTTGCCTGGGGCGCCTGAGCTTCTGAGTTTCCCTGAGAACAGGTGTGGAGTCCTCTTCCCCCCCAGGGGAGCTGGCTGCTTGCACTGCCTAGGACTGTCTGGCAAAGCCCCATCCTCGGGCCTCTCCAGGGCTCCATCCAGCTTGAGACCATCTCTGTCTTCAGCCAAGGCAGCCAGAGAAGGAGACAGAGATGGAGGCGGAAGCTCCTGACTGCCTGAAGGTGGATCGTCTTCCCTGACTGCGTGGTCCACCAAGTCGATGGGCCTCTCTTGGATTTGGGGCCAGCTCTCAGTGATGCAGGGAGCATCCTTGGAGCACAGCTGGGGCAGGGCCTGGAGAGAGCCCTCGCTCAGGGTAGGGCTGCCTGGGGACTCTGGCCTGTCCATGCTGCTGGATCCTGGGGGGCTGCTGGGCGCAGCCACCTTACGCCGCTTGCTGGGCTGCATGCCCTCGAGGACTGGGGCCTTCTGCCCAGGATTCCCCGGCCTCCTTACGCCCCGAAGCGCAAAGGGCTGTTGACCACTCCTCAGGTGCTTGTCCATGTGGCGGTCGAACTGCTCCTTTTTGGCAAAGGTGTAGTTGCAGGAGCTGCAGATGAAGGACCTCCTGATGACATGCATGACGTTGGCACAGAGCTCACAGGTGTACAGCGGTGTGTGTGGCAGCTCCCGCTCCTCTTTCACCCCGTGCTCCCCACCCAGGTGTGTCTGAAGCTCACAGAGCTCAGGGTAGACCCTTGGGCACCGGGGGCACAGGTAGACGCGCTGCGGGCTGTGCACCACCAGGTGGCGCTGCAGCTTGAAGGGCTTGGGGAACTGTTTCCCACAGTGGTGGCAGTCCCGGGAGGGGTCCTTGCAGTCTTCGTGCACGGGGATGGCTTGGAGCAAGGGCTCGCTGTGGGACCAAGGGTCTGGGGATGGGCTGGGGGATGTCTTGGCAGAGCCTGAGCGGGTGGCAGAGCTGCCGGTCAGAGCAGGAGGTGTCAAAGGACCATCTTGGCTCAAGGAGGCGATGCACACCTTGGGTCTTAGCCTTTCCCTTGAGGTTTCCTTCTCGGCTTCCTCTTCTGGCTCAGACACCTCCCTGGGGCTCTGGCTTGCCCTGCCAACCGAGTGCCTGCCCCTGTGGGGTGCGGCTGCTTCTTCCATGACGTTGTTCAGAGAGTGTGTGATATCGCTGTCCCCCTCCAACCCCCCAGGCAGGTCCTCCAAAGACCGCCGCGCCTGCCCCTTGCGGGCAAAGCGGGCGGCATGCTCCCGCAGGTGCTGGTTGTACATCCAGACGTCGGTCACCTCCTTCAGGCACATACCGCAGGCCCACGGCCCCGCCTTGCCCTGCACGTGCTTCTCCTGCAGGTGTTCCTGCAGCAGCTCCCGTGAGCCAAACCTGCGTTCCACGCACATGTAACAGATCGGGGGTGGCGAGGGGCTGTGTGCCAGCTTGTGCAGGTCCAGCTCGCCCAGGCCGTGGAAGCGCTGGAAGCACACCCTGCACTTGTAGGAGGTCCTCCTGCCCTTTGTGGGCCAGTCTCTGCCTTGGGCCTGTCCTACCTCAGCTGCCTGCTCTGTCCTTTTGCTTGGTTGTCCCTGTGAGGTCCCTGTGGCCTTGAAGTCAAAAAGGCTTGGTCTGTGGAGGCCCACGAGGTCTTCACAGGGTCCCAGAAAGCAGAGGTCTTGCATCTCCAACTGGGTGCTGAGCACCTCAAAGTCTTTGGTATGAAGAGGTGGCAGGCCGGCATTCCTGGGAAGCCCGTGGTGGTCGTTGTGTTCTCTCTCCAGATTGGGGGGCTCCGGGCTCACGTCCCCAAGGGAAGAGGACGTCTCGTCTGTGGGAGCCCGCAGCTCCAGTCCTCTCCAGGCTTCAGGGACCATGTGCAGCTGGGGGATGGCCTCTGACCACTCATCCTCATCCTCGGGGCAGTTGGAGGGCACCTCACCCACACAGCTGGCCTCTGCACTGGGTTCCAGAGCCCACAGGCTGAGGCTGGGGGCCCAAAGGTCAAAGCCAGGCTCCCTGGTGCTCAGGAGGCCATCCATGAGGAAGGACTCGGGAAGACCAGTGGCCTCATCATCCCATGGGTCCTCGCAGGACAGGCAGAGGGAGCCCGAGTCACTGAGATCTGTGGGCAGCCGGGAGGAGGACAGTAAGGTGCTGCCTCCCACCTCACTGCTTGGCTGGCTTGGTGGCGGTCGCTTTGGCCTTTTGCAGCGTTTCCCGTAGACTCTGGGGTTCTTCTTCTGAGTGAGGCGGCCTCCCAGGGGGAAGAGCTGGGAAAAGGATACCTCATCATCAAACACACTCAGAGGGTCCCCGAGACCCAGGCTGGGGGCTTCAGTGATGGTGCCCTCAGGCTTCTGGACCCCACCCCCAGCTTCTGGGGTGGCCAGGAGGCCCTGGGGGCAGTTGCCAGTGATGCTGCCTGCTTCAGAACTGGACTTCACGGGAAGGCCCAGTGTCCTCTCCCCAGAGCCCTCATCTGACCCACCCTCGGTCCTGCTGCTGTCCTCTGCCTTCTGCCTCCCAGCAGCCTGAGATGGCTCTCTGCAAACGCCCAATGCTTTTGGTTCCCCAAAGCACCTAGCCAAGCCTTCCTTCCACCCATCCAGCTGCTCTCCTGGCAATGCCCCCTCTAGCCTCCCTCCTTGGATCCTCCACTCTTGGGGTGACTTCTCTGAACACAGAGCCCCCAGGCCAGCTTCTGCCATGTCATCCAGCATCCTGGGCCTCAGCATGGCCAAGTGAGGTGGCTTCCCCACGTCCACCCCACACTCTCCCTTGGGTGCGAGGCGATGGCTCAGAGGGACCAGATGATGGCCAGTTGCAGGAGATGGACCCAGGAGGTGCTTATCTGAAGTGACATCGGCAGAAGCTTGGGGACCACGTGCCTCCCGGAGCCTCCTTGCCCTCGGCTTTCTCTCTCTCTTATTCGGTTTTCCCTCTGAGTTGCTGTGGGAGTCTGCTTGCTCTCCACCTTGCTTTAGGCCTTCTCTTTTCTCTGTCTGTTTGGGATGGTGCCTGTGGGCCTCCAGTCGGCCTGGTTTCCTGGGTTTTGAGGCCAGAGCCCTCACATGCTCTCCCTGCTGAACCTGGCTTGGGGGGTGTCGTTGTGGGTTGAGGGGAGCACCTGCTGTCCCAGGTCCCCTGGATCCCTTTCTGGCAGCCTTCAATGTCTCAGAACCCAGGGCATCCTCAGGTGCTACCAAGCCCTGGATGGGAGATGGCCCAGGAGGGTGGCCAGGGCCCATTGGCAGGTGACTTGACCTCTCCTTCCTAGGAGTCTTTCGACTTCTCTTCCCAGTGGCCCTGCATGTTTGGGCCATGGGTTCCAGAGACTGGACAGCAGGCAGGGCCTCTGGGCTCTGCTGGGCGGTGGGCTCCTTGTGCCGATGCTTCCTGGCTTTGTGCCGGCTCAGGCCAGCAGAGGAGCAGAAAGAGGCAGAGCAGACTTCACAGGTCACTGGTGGCCCTGCTGGGGTTTGACCTTTCCTCTGGCCCTTCTCCATGGGCTTAGGCTTTTTTTTAAAGCCACGTGGTCTCTGTTTGGGGTCTTGGGGACCGAGGGGCTTTTTCTGGGGAGTCTGGTGGGGAACACTGATGTGGCTTTGGGGGGAGTCGGACTTGAAGTCACTGGCTGAGCCACTTGGAGAGGTATCTTGGGACAGGTGGCACGCTGTGGGTGAGCAGGAGGTGGTTAGGGCTTGTGTGCTAGCTCTGGGCACCTTTGTTACAACGGCCTGCCTAGCCCCAGGTGTTCCCGGGTCCCCCTGTCCCTCGCTGCCAGCACTTGCCTCACCTTCCAGGCAGGTGTCTGGCCCTGCAGTCTGCAGAGTGGCAGGGTCCATGAGCACAGCCAAGGCACTGTGGCCTTCCCTGTGGCTAAGGCAGGGCGTGTTGTTCAGGGTGTCTGAGGAGGGGTCCTTGGACATCCCATCAGGGCTGGTGGGGAGTGGGACTCCCCTGCAGTGGGTGTCTGGTATCCCAAGTCCTCTGATTGCCTCTGTGTCTTCTTCAGTGGGAACACTGGGCAAGTCAGCAGCCTGGACAGTAACTCTTGGGGAGGTGTCCTCCCCTTGTGGGGGAGCAGTGGCAGGAGGCCCTCTCAGCTCCTCTCTTCTGGAATCCTCTGGAGTTCTTATTGTGTTGTCTTTGGGGCTGTCTCCCCCTTGCCTTGAGGGGGCTAAGACATCGACAAGGCCAGGCTTCCCTGAGGGAGGGTCTTCAGGGCTGCTGGCCACCAGGAGAGGGTGGTGAGGCAGGGTCGCCTCCAGGCCACAGAGGCTTGTCATTAAAGATGGGGGAGCATCTGTAGGGGCTTGGATATAGCTGGCCTCTCCAAGAGGTGCCCAGGCAGGACCAGCAGGCCAATGCTGGGGGCTGGAAGGGTCCCCGCAGGAGGAAGGTACAGGGAGCAGCTCCTTTGGATCCCCTTGGGCTGCTATGACACTGTGAGATGTGGAGAGTGAGTCTTCCTGGGGCAAGGGCTTGAGGCTGCAGAGAGTGGGGGTCCCCGGGGAAGTGGGTGAGGGGGCACAGGTGACCATGTCCCCGGTAGAGGCTGCTGGGGTCTCCTCATTGAGCAGCAGCTGCGGAACAAGTCCTGAGCTGGCTGTCATTTCTGGGATTCTGTCTCTAGGCTGCTCTTGGCTGCAGGCCACTGCCAGGGAATCTCCCTCAGGGGAGGTGGGGGAGGGCTGAACTTGCTCCTGATGGCTCAGGGCTGCCCTGCTTCCCTCACACGTGTCTCTGCCTCCGGCTGGCCTGGCCAGTGGGGTTTCCAGCTGGGTAATGACTTTGGTGCGGGTATCCAGCTCCCCTGGGCTCCTCTGGTTACCTGACCGAAGTCTGCTGGCTTCACCTTCACCCTTGGTCTTCTCAGCTTGGCTGGGTGAACCCAGATGTCCATCTGCCTTGGGCCCCAGCTTATGTCCAGCCATTGCAGGGATAGGTGTTTCCTGTACACGTTCTGGGGAGCCACCTTTCATTCTGACCCCTCCAAGATCTGAGGGATCCCTGGGCTGCAGGCTCTGTGCATCGGCAGATGGTGGTCCCTGCAAGTCCCAGGTGTCTTCTTTGCTCCCTGCTTTGGTCCCCAGGACCTGGAGTGAACATAAAGAGTTTGAGACTGGGTCTTGGGGCCTCCTGCCAGGGCTGGCATGGGGAAGCCAGGCAGGATTTGGTGTAGGATGAAACCGAGCCTCACCACCCTGGATGGCAGGCAGTTTGGAGGCCCCTGCTGGTGCCAATTCCTCACCCTCAAAGCCAGGCTCTTCTGCCATGGTGTGGGGCACAGCTCCCTTGGGCTCTCCTGTTCTGCCCTCAGAGTGTCCCTTAGAGGCACTGCTATGACTGGCGCCTGGAGGCAAGGTGGCACCCAGAGGTGCATCCCCGTGACCCTGAAACACCAACTCAGGAGACACATGCACGATGGGGTCTCCGAATGCTTCCAGTGCAGCTGGGGCTTGGCAGGGCCCCTTGGCCTTAAGGGGTTCTGGGGAGTGCCCTCTCCTCTGTTCACAGAGGGACGGCAGTGGGATGCTTTTGTGTGTCCTGGCAGTCTCGTTATTCTCAGGAAAAAAAGGTTCACAGCTTGGGCTGCCCTTGACCAAACTCTCAGCATCCAGGAGGGGCTCCCCTTGCTTGTTGGGGTCAGGCAGACAACCACCTAGGGGAACCCTGGTGTCTCTTTCCATCTGGGAGGCACTGGAGTGTTGCACTGCTTGAAAACCGAGGAGGTCCCCTGAAGGGCTGTAAAGCGCCCCAGAGACTGGGTCTTCCTGGGCACTGGGGTGGGAGGCTGCTTCCACTGGGGAGCATGTGACTTGACAGGGCCAGTGTCCCTGGGGGCTTCTAAGAGCCTGTTCTCCCTTTGGACTTGATCCACCAAGACCTGTAAGGTCGGCTGCTGAGAGGGCGACTCTGTGGGGTGAGGGAGCCTGGAGGGTGGGCAGCGGGATGGGCTCTGGGCCAGGGCCTATCCCGCCCACTCTGCTTGCACATATGGCTTCGTCACACTCTCCCGGGGTCCCCTGTGTGTCCTCTTTCCTTTGCAGCTGGTTTTCCAATTCAGTGACCAACCTTTTGATCTCTAGTTCGTCCTCACACAGGTCGCTGCTCATAAAGGCTATGTTACATTGGCTTCCTCTCCCAGGCCCAGGGGGAGGGCTGGGGAGCACCGTCCCATCACAGAGACACTTCTCACCAAATGCTTTTCTCTCTGAGAGGTCAGGAAACTGTCTGGAAATCATTGCTGGGGATGCTTCTTCCAGCAGCAAAAATGAGGGGCACAGGGGATCTATGAGAGGCTTCTTTGGGACAGGGTCAGCACATGCCAGCTGTACGTTTGTGTTCCTGTTTGTAGATAGACTGTCGTAGAGCGGTGGGTCAAATCCATCCTCAGGCAGCCCAGAAAAGAAAGACGTGGACTCCAAGGTCAGTGGTGACTGGGCTCTGCCTGTGTCCGTTTCAACTGCATACGGTGGAACCTTTGTCGGTTTTGGCTCAAGGGATTCCACATTGCCCTGGGCAAGGCTGGCTGGTGGTGGGTTTCCAGCAAAAGGCTTGGAGTACAGGTGTCCAGTGAGACAGTCAGCCAGGTCCTTGGATCTGAGGAACAGTTCTCTGGGGGTGCTGTTGTTAGGCCAGGACTCTTTTTTGGTAGCTGTACTCCCCGTGGAGTCTCTGTTAAAGTGAGCAGGGTCACAACCAGGATCAGAGTTCTTAAAAAAAAGGATGCTGGGTTCAGGATTGCTAGAATCCATGGTGTCAGTGACGGGTACCAGGCATTCTTCTGGTTGGGAAGCAGGAGTGTCCTCTCTGTCCTGAGCCTGGTGGGGTTTTGTGCACCTGGAGGTGCCCAGCACACCATCTGTACTTAGTGTTGGTGCATTCCCACTGGTCAGCACTTCAGCGCAGCTCTCTGATGGCCTGGGTCTGCCAGTGTCACCTCTGCTGTTAGACTTTGGGGGTCTGGGGGTTTCTCTCACATGGGTAGCTGGAGGACCAGACATGTCTCTGAGTTTCATGGTGTTGAGGACTAAGTCTGCAGTCATTTCAGGTTTCATGGCCTCCTGGATGAAGCCCAGGGGTGGGTGGTTTTCGTCTGGGGTTATGGCATTGTGGGTGGGGACCTGATGGGGACTCCTGGGGGCTCCGGTGGGGTGATCTGCACACTTAAGGCCTCTTTCCACAGGGGTCTTTCCAGCATCCAGGCTTTGTGATGGGCCACATGGCTCCCTTGGGGTGGGGGAGCCCCTGTCCTCCCCAGCTTCTTGCCCCACAACCTTCTTGGGGCCCTGGGTCAAGTCCTTTTCCTTCCTCTTCTCTCCTCGGTGCCACCGCCGACGGCCATGGCGAGAGTGGCCTCTGAAGCCAGAGCCCTGCTGCCGAGGACCTTCATCCTCCTCAGACTCAGAGGCGCAGTTGTGTGCCCCGAGTCTGCGGTCCTGGGTGCTGGGCGGGGGCCTCCCAGGCGTCAGGGGGCTGCGTGTGCCCTGGCTGTGCTGTGCCTTCCGCCTGTAGCGCCTGTTTTTCTGCTGTACGATCTTGTGGATAAGTTCTTTGCTCCACGAGCCACCCCGAGCTCTCCTCTTCCTGGGGCCCTTCCCGGGGGGCAGTCGCAGGTGCTTGGAGCTCCTGGTCTCTGTGGGGAGGGAGGTGGCTCTCAGGTTCAGATCTGCAGGGCCCTTGGGGGCCTGGCTTCTGAGGTCCCCGTGGCGGGGCGGGGGCTGCTCAGTGCTCTGGGCCCTCCTCCTTGGCCTTAGGCTGATGGCTCTGGAGGACCCCTTGGCACTGTTGGCTATGTCCAACTCTTTCTGGAACAACTTCAACTGCTTTCCTCTCCTCTGCCTCCTGACCAGGCTGGTGGCACCTGCCTTCCTGGGGGCCAGGCCCAGGGAGCGGGTTTTGGGCCTGTTTCGGGCTGGGCAGTCTCTGTCCCCAGGGCAGGGAGCTTGGGGCTCTGATGTGGCAGCTCTAGCTGGGAGCAGGGGCTGGGCGCTGTTCTCTGGAGTCGTCCCTACCCGGGTGTTGGGGGGTTGCCCTGCACTGGGCCCTCTGGGGCCAGAAGGTTCCTCGTCAGCAAAGACATCAATGAAACTGCTGTCGATCTCAGGATTGTCTGACTGGTACTCCATACCGTTGAGAGCTTCGGTGATGAGGCTGTCCAGCTTGGCGTCATCCTCCATGTCCATGTCCGAAGCAGGGAGTGGGAAGGAAGAAGTAGCCAGGCCAGGTAGGAAGCTTGTCCTCAGAGGGTCATCTTTGCCATCTGTCTGGATGTCTCCAGCGAGCAGGAAAGGGACGGTCTGGCTGTGGTTGAGCAAGCCCGTGTCAGTGTCAGCAGGTGCTTTGGGGGTGGAGGAGGGTGTGGAGAGCCCAGGGGCCTGCTGGGGGCCATCCTTGGTCCTGGCCAGGAGCAGGCTGCAGAATTGTCGGTGCTCCAGGAAGGCAGCCAGGCTACTGTAGTTCCGGTCACACTGTCTGCAGGTCAGCAGCACGTCCAGCTGGTCCAGGCTGGCGCTGCTCAGGGAGAAGTATGGGGGTGGCCCTCGGGGGAGACCCTGCAGCCCACCTCTGCCCATCTCAGGGCCATCGTGGGGGAACGGGGTCTCTTCCAGGCACTCGAAGGTACCCTCGGCCCCCAGCCCATCTGCGGGGAAAGGGAAGGCCTTGGCTGGCTCTGGTTGGTAGTGGCTGTGGAGGGCATGGGGGGGCTCTGGGGATGGAAAGGGGCTACTGGTCTCCTGGGAGTGGGTGGGAGGGTGGAAGAAGGCCGAGGCCCCAAGGGAGCTGGGGAGCTGGCTGTCCTCTGAACTGGGGTTGGCTGGGCTGCTGGACGGTGGTGACAGGGATGAGCAAGTGCTGCTGCCTGTTGTGTTGGTGGCAGGTGAGGGCAGCGGGGACTCACTGGGAGAGGCTCCCACCACTCTGGGAGGGGGCAGGCTGGGGGCCCCGAGGGGTGACACCTGGGACTGGGTGCCCCCAAAGAACAGGGGCTGACTCTCCGAGTCCTTTAGCCCACCATAGTTGAACAGCCCTGGTGAGCTGCTGGGCTGGCCTGGGCCGCCTCTCATGGCCACCAGTGGCTCCCCAGGCCCAGCTATCATGCTGTTAGAACCCATGACCCCCTGGCTGCCCCCCTGCCACTCGGGGGCCCCCCCAGGGAATGGCAGCCGCCTCGGCACCCCTGTTCTGTGGGGGTTAGGTCCAGGACTTGGAAACATTGGAGGCCAAGGCAGAGGAGAACTCTGGGGGAGGCAGAGCTGCTGGCCTGGGCTGGGCTGGTCTTCAAAGAACGTGGTCCTGGTAGTGGCCGGGGGGCCTAGGGTAGGGGTGGGGTAAGGGGCTGCCGTGGGGTCCCACAGCTGGGGCAGTCTGGCAGGTGGGGGCCCAGGGTTCTGCAGCTCAGTGTCCAAAGGCCCCGGGCTGGTGCCCATCCCATTGGCTCCGTAGTTCTGCCCTGCAAAGCATCTCTGGGGCAGAGGGTTTGGGGGCCTCCCAGGGCTCCTCAGTCCATCATGAGCAGCAGGGGGTCCTTCAGGAAGGACTTTGGTCAGGCTCTTGGGCAAACTGTCCGGGAAGGGGCTCGGGGCCGAATGAGCAGCACCAGTTGGGGAGAGGGTGTCTTCAGGCTTGCTGGGGGCCTCGAGGCCACCTGGCTGGCTGGGGTAGCAGGGCAGAGGTCGGGGGGTCGCCCTGGAAGGCAATGGATAGGCAGGGCCCATGTTCCTGGTGGACTCTGGCCACGTTCCCAGGGGCTGGTGAAAGGCAAACAGCAGCGCCCCAGTGGCACGCTCGTGCCTGACTGTATGTGCAGTGAAGGACTTGTTGCTGACCACTTGTGGGGCCTGGGCTGAGAAGGGGTACTGGAAGGAGACCCCCTGAGGGCTGCCAGGCCTGCTGCCTTCAGGAAAGGGCTTGGGCTCAGCAGAGGGGACTCCAAAATTAGCACCTGGAAAGTTGTCTTCAACAGTTGGAGGCCAGGGTTCAACCCCAGTGGCCTGGAGCTCAGGGTGGGAGTCAGGCCTGTGGGGGCTGGTGCCGCTGTTCTGGGGGACCCTCAAGGGCAGAGGTCCAGGGGTGGCACTTGGTGAGGTATAGTTGGTGGAGGTAAAGCTGGAGGGGGCCTCCTCAAAGCACCTTTGGGAGCTGAGTTCTTCGGGGGCAGGCAGGGCCTCAGCCCTGGGAAGACTGAGCCTGTGGTGGGATCTACTCCCTCGGCCCTGGGTGTCCTCCACCTCTGGAGCCTGGGGACCCTCACGCTGTGAGTCCTCGTGGGGCTCGTCCATGGTGGGTTTGGCCCTCAAGCTGACCATACTCAGACTGTAGAGCTGCGGGGGGCTGTTTTTAGCTCTGCCAGCCAGCCATGTGTGAGCCTGGGTGTGGCTCTTCCCTGGTGGGGCACGGGGACTGCCCTCTTTCCCAGAGGGGTCGCCCAAGGCCTGGGCCCTTAAGAGCAGGGCCTCGGACTCCACTACCTTGACCGGCCTTAACTGGGCTTCAGAGGACTCCTGGGACTGGACCCCACTGCCTGTCTCCCTCAAGCCCTGGGAGGTCCTGTTGGGCGGGGAGTGGTCTTGGAGAGGGTGCTGGGAGGGGTGCCCCAGGCCACTGGCAACTTGGCAGGGTGGCAGGTCTCTGGTCATGGTTGGGGGTGGTGCTCCTCGGGGCTGCTCCCCTGGCATGGCCCCGCCGTCCTGGGAGCTAGGAGGATGCAGGGATCCGACTGGGGCCATGGGGAATGGACCAGACAGCCATCCTCACTTCTTTGGGGACCCTGGGGAAGCCTCCTCTCATGGTCCTGAGTGCAGCCTGAAAGGAAAGGGCAGAAGTGAGCTGGGGTTCATGGAGGCTGGGATGTCCATCCCCACTCTAGACAGAGAGCCATGCTGGGCTCTGTGATTGCTCATAGAGGCCACGGCCAGGCCAGAAGCAGCAGTTGTTTCTGTTGTCATCACAGAAGCCTCTGTTGTCAGTGAGAGGCTTCTGCCTCTCTGCCGCAGGAAGCAGGGACTGAAGAGTGGTGGGGAGAGAGATGGGTGGGGGGATGAGGGAGAGGACACAATGAAGGAGAGGGAAGGAGGCCATCTGGGATCTGAGAGTCCCAGAAGACCATTGCCCCTGCACAGCAGTTTTTTGTTTTAGTGGTTTTTTTTTTTTTTGGTACTAGCATTTGAACTCAGGGCCTACACCTTGAAACATTCCACCAGACCTTTTTTGTGATGGGTATTTTTGAGATAGGGTCTCACGAACTATTTGCCCAGGTTGGCTTTGAACCATGATCCTCCTGATCTCTGCAGGCACAAACCAGGGTGTGGGCCCCTGGGCCTTGGGGAGGAGAGGCTGCTCTGGACAGGGCTGATCTGCAGCCTCTGCAGGGCACAGGCTTGGACAGCCAAGGTGGCTTCTGCTTGCCCGCTGCATAAAGAACTATGGTTTTAGCTTCAAGTTGGCCCCTGACAGCCTGGATCCAGGGACAGGCGCTGGGGAGACAGCTGGCAGCCCCAACTACTGTCTGTGCTGGGAGATGGAGGCAGTGGGGTGGGGTGGAGGGGGCCTTGGTCTCAAAGGCATCATGGCCAGGGGTGGCTGCCAGCCTCTGAGAGGCCACTCGTCTACATACCTGGGGAGCCGGGGCCCCTTGCTGGGTCACCACACAGCTGCCTGAGGAACGGGGCTTTCTTGGCTGTAAAGAAAGTAGATAGTGTGTTAGAACCGTCGTGGGGCTTGGCTGTAGCCTGAGGTCCCTGAGGAGCAGGTAGGAGGGAGCGGTTCCAGGCAGCTCAGTCAGCCTGGAGGCCCTGAAGGCCAGGGACACACTTTGACCCAGGTGCGTGGACCATTTCATGCTTGTTTTCTGTTACGTTCTTACTTCTGCACAGATCATGCATTCACGCATAGAGAAGGCACGGGGGAAGTGGGGAGAGGCCCTGCCCCTCTCTCCTTGGGCAGCTTCTTGTTTCCTTCCAGGTTTGTTATTTTCTGTGGGTGCTGGAGGTGGAACCCAGGGTCTTGCATGTGCTGGCCAGGTGCTCACCACTGAGCTACACCCAGCCCCCTTTGGACTTTCTTGATTCAAGTGCCAGCAACATGAAGGGACACTCATTTCCCTCTTTTGTGAATAGGTCTGCACCTTAGTTCTCACCCCACACCTGCTCTGGCCATTGCTCTAGGGGACTCCCTGGAAAGGCTCTTGTCTGTCTGCACATCCATTCCCCCCTCCCCACCCTGCCACAGCTGGAGAGCCCTCCAGCTGCCTCTGGGTCCCGATCCCTTGTAGACACTGGATGGCTTCCTACCTTGACCTCTATACACAGTGTGGGTGGGTGCACGCAGCTATGGGGCAGCTAGTAGGAGGTTTAGAGTGCTGATAATTTGGAGGTAGACTGTCTGTCAAATTAACTCCTGTGTGGTTAAATGTGGCCAGGTGATCTCTGACCCTCTCCCGTCTCGAGGTGGGGTCTGGCTCCCTCCACTGGACTGTGCCAGTTGGAGGCAGTTGGGCCAGGTTACTTGTTGCTAATAGGCAGACCAGGGTGGTAAGGAGGGTGCCAGGCTCTTCACACCAGTCCACGGAGGGTCACGCAATATACTCCCTGATCGGGGGACACAAGGCACCAGGACAAGGGACCCTGGAGTGGCCCCTAGAGAGGTCACATGATGAGGAGCTAAGGTCTTCTGCCCTTGGCTACACAAGGAACCACTTGGACAGTGGCCCCAGCCTCGGTTGAGCCTTCGGATGCTCTGCCTGCAACCTCATGGGAGATGCTGCCCAGGGTCACCAGGCTGAGCCACGCCTGCCTTCCTGACCCCCAGAAACTGTGAGGCAACCAAACCCTGTCTCAGGTCCCAGGCTACTACTATGGAGTGACAGTGGATGACTGCTCCATGGTGTGATGGCAAGAGGGGTGCGTGCCTCCCTGCAACACAGAGAGTCCAAAGGCATTCTGGGTACCAGCACCACAGAGAAGCAAGTGGGCCCTTCCCCAAAGATGGGCAGCTGAGGCCTGGAGAGATGGAGAACCGTGGAAGCCACCTGGGACTCCATTCATCCATCAAATCGTTCATCCAGCCACCTGTCCATTCACTCACTCACTCACTCATGCATTCACTCGCAAGCCTTTACGTCTGTGCCGGGCACAAGGCAGGCAGCCATGAGTGGCCGATTCATGGCTCCATCTTACCAGAAAAGACAGTGAGTCAACAAATAGCTACAGATGGGGAAACTGAGGCTCAGAGAGGTGGCTGCACAGCTGGCACAGAGCCAAGCAGGGAGGTGAGGCAGCCAGCCTGTAACCTTGCCTCTCCTGTGCCTTGCGGAGACCGGTTCAGTACAATGTTCCTCTGGCCTTCCCATCCTGCTGGTCTCTGCCTCCAACTACCCAGCCCGTGGCAGAACCTTGCCATCCCACTCTGTGCTCGGTCTCTGGCTCACATTCTGCACCCCAGGGTGCTCAAGTACTGGCCACTGGCTCCCCATCCAGGGGCAAGAGGACCTCGGGCAGTGTGGGGTCAGCGAGTACCCTAGTCTCGGGTTCTGGCCCTGCCCAGGCTCTGGGTAAAGCCCCTTAGTGCTGCTGCACTGGTGTGGGTTTCAGCCAGCCGGGGCCCTTTGAAGTGGGGAGATCCAATCCCCGGATCCCGGGTGCACAGGGAGCCCCCAGAGGGGTGGGAGCGGTTCCCTTTCTTTCAAAAACAGTGACTGGCCCTTTTCAGACCGGCTGCCCCAGCGCCCTGGGTAACTCAAGACTGTGGTTGGCTGGCTGGCTCCTCTGGGGTGTGGGGCCACTGCCTGCCCAGCCCCCAGCCTCTGCTTTCGTCTTCTTCCAACCTGCCCTGCCCTCCAGATCTGGGCCTCCTCCCTGTCCTGGTTCCTTGCTAACCAGTTCTTCCTGGCTCTTCCTATGGATGCCCCCCACCCCTAGGCTTACCTGGACACCCCCTCCCTTCTTCTGCCACCTTGGGAAACTGTGCAGGTGGGCTTTGGGGCAGCTGGATGGGAGCTCAATTCCTGTCTCTGGTGCTTCATGCCTGGGTACCTGGACCCCTAGCCCTGGAGCCCCCTTGTCTATACAGGGACAGTCACTGGCCTTACCTCAAGGGTGTTAAACAGCCAACCCAACCGCAGTCATTTCACGCAGACCTGTACCCAGTAGGAGTCTGCTCTGACAGAGGCCATTCTCAGGGGAGGACACAAGGCTCAGAGTTCTCCCCGCACTGGGGCCCTGGCACTGCCCACATGGTGGCCTGGGGTGGGCCCAGCACATGGGTCTCGGGTGCAGGTCAGGTGGGTGGGGAGTGGCCAGGATGAGGTTCACACGCAGCTGTGCTGTGCCTGTCCATTCTCTGAGCCCGCGTTGTGCCCCAAGATACGGCAGATGGATGAGATGGACAGTGTGGACACTTCTGGCGCCTCCCAGCCAAGGTTGCATCCACACGTGCTATGCTCATTCACTCTATCTCAGGTGACTCCATGAGGCTGGACTGCTTTCACACTTCCAGGTGAGGAAACTGAGGCAGGGAGGGGTGAGGTCACTTGCCCAGGCCGTGCATTGGAAAAAGTGGGGCCAGGAGGTGGGTCAGCTGCCCTGTGCCAGATTCTTGACACCTCCCTGGCTGGACAAGTGACCCCAGGTGGCAGACGTGTAAGAGCTAAGACAGAAATGCAAGGTTGTCACTGAAGACAGGGCAAAGAAAGTGAGTAGGGCTCTGAGGGAGAAGGGTGGCCCCAGGGTGGCCAAGGCCTCTGGCCATGTGGCCTTTAGCTGTGGCCTGGCCTTGGGTGGGTGTCTTGGGCACAGTGTTGGGAGTATCAAGACTAGAGGGTCAGGGAGAGTGGATATCAAAAGGGCTCTGTGGACGCCCAACACCAGGCCCTGCTCCCTGGCCTCTCCATTGTCCCTCCTCGGCCCCATCCTGGACACCAAACAGGAGGTAAGAAATCTGTACCATCAGGCAGGACTGGGCTGGGAAAACCAGGATCAGAGAAGGGTGTGGCCTACACAAGGTCACACAGCTGCATGTGGACCTCGTCCTGGCCACCCCCCACCACTGAACAGAGTCCCCACCCTGCTCTGCCGGAATCCCCCTGGGGGCACCAGACACAGCCTGGACTCAGTTCTCTCCACTCTGACTGTGGGTCCCTGCCCTGGCCTCCAGCTACCCACTCTGTCAGAGCCCACCTGGGCACTGAGCCCTGCCCTTCGTCCCCTTGGCCTACACTGGACTGGCCTCTGTGGCTTAGCACTGCCCCAGCCAGCTGGCCACTCTCTAATGGGCATGGCGGGTGAGGCAGGTGTCCCATGTGTCTGATCTGCCAGCTGGGTCCTCCTGTGACCACACCCACCGGCCTCTGTGGAGCACTCTAGTCCTCAGGTGTCCACCTCTGCCCAACCCACCCATCCCGGCTGGTTCACACATCAGGCCTGGGGAGCCGGGCAGAGGCTCTGCTCTGCAGCCCCTGCTGGAGGGACTATGGTGGTCAGGGGCGCGCCGGTTCCCCCACAAACTTCCCCTTTCCTCTTCCTTCAAACGCGGCCGCTTTCCTCAAAAATTCTGTCATCCGATCGCTCAGATAAACCTCTGCGGGTAAAATTATATCCAAGGCAGGCCCAGAGGGTCCGTTTAACACATGGCGCAACTATCAGCTGCATTCATCTTAATTACTTTGGGGACAGTAGAGGCC